GTGGGGGGGACAGCTGCTGGCTTCTCCCAGGGCCTGTGATCACTCCCTTGCCTCAGGCCTCCCCAGCGCCTGCTGGGCCCACAAGCCCCAGAGGAAGTCTGGGCCTTGGCTGCCACCCTCTTCCTCTCCGTGCAGTTCTTCTCTCTCCCAAGCATGGATTTGCATTTTCTCCTCTGCCCTCTGCCACTCAAGCCCCCAGGGACCAGGTGACAGTTAAACCCCCTCTCCCGGCTAGTGGCCCAGAGCACTCACTTCCTTCCAGGTATTTTCCGGGCTTGGGGGAGTGGTTGAAAGGGTGGCAGTTGCTGGGTTTGGGGAAGAAGGAATGAGGGCTCCATTTTGGATGGAAGCTGGGGTCTCCCCACCCTGGCGTCTGAAGCTGTTCCTTATCTTCCCCCAAGTTCTCTCTGGAGCACGAGACTCAGTGTGGGGGAAGGAGAGAGCACAGGCAGGAAAGCAGCACAGGGTCTTGAAACGGGGCCCTCCGGCTCCCTGACTTCTAAGAGGCACAAGCCTCCCTCTGCTGTGGGACGGACCCCTGGGCCTCAGGTCCTCTGTCCATGACCCCGTAATGCCTGCCCTCCACTTTGGGGGCAGTGTTGAGACTAGGAGTGCCGAGGTCTAGAGGGGAGACGTTTTCTATCATGTTCTCAGAGGATCTGGCATCTAGGAGCCAGCAGCCCAGGGCAGAGTTTTCTCTGCACTCAGTTCCTGCTTCCTGGGGTCTAAAAGCAAAGAGAAACACAAGCGTCTGTAGGCAAAAGGCGCTGAGCCAGGCAGTGGAGGACATACAAAGTAGCAGTGACCCCCTCTTGAGGGCAGGCTGACCCTTGACTCTGGGGCTCAGTTTTCTCACCCATCAAGTGAGGAGCTGGCCTAAGTCCTGACTCTCCCAGCCCTTGCATTCTCTGCAGGGTCTGCCTTCCCTCTTTCCTCTGCCCTGACACTCCAGACCTCCCCCTCCCAATGGTGAAGACCTCTGAGCCCCAAGGCCCAGGCAGACAGCCATGTGCTTTCTTCCTCAGTCCAAGACTTACTGGCTCACCCAACAGCAGTTTTTACCAGCATGGCTAATCTCCTGGTTCAGACAAGACTGGAGTGGGGACAGCCACACATGAGCAGCAGAAGTGACAGCTGACAGGCTGACATGAATCTAAGAGGTAGAGAAATAATTAGTCCCAGAACCATTTCACCACATGATACAAAAATGGAGGTTTTATAACAATGACTGTAAGCCAAGTAGAGGTTAAATCACATTCACAATCTCATAGCCAAATAGAAAGGAAGTATATATTTAAAAAATAAACAAAACTTAGGTCATAAAAATGAAAGAACAGAAAGAGAGAGAGATTAAGATAAAAAGCCCTGGTGCCTGAAGAAAAATGTTTCAGTTTTTGATATATTTGCGAATGATAGATACATTTGAACATCTATTGCCCAAGAAGGCTAGAGTGATGACGTTCTTACCTAGAACTTATCTAGAGGGGGACAACTTTGAATGACAATCTCTTAGGTAGACTTGGTAGTTTACAGCTCTCAAATTGCTTTTACCTAAATGACTGTATTTCATTCTCAAAACTATCCTAAGACGAGAACTGCCAACTGCGTTTTTAAGCGAACTTTTTATTTCAGGTATAATGGACAAACAGAAAAGGGACCAAATCATGAGTGTATAACTCAGTAAATCTCCAGAAAGTGAATCGACCTATGTAACTAGCATCCAGGTCAAAAGCAGACCATAACCAGGGGCCCCTCATGCCCTTCTCCACCCCACCTTTCACAAGGAAACACTATCCTGTCAACTAACACCAGAGTTTTGTCAACTGCATTTTTTTGAAGAGGAAACTTCTTCTAGAGAAGTAAAGTGACTTAGAAAAGTCAGGGCTGGTGGGTGGTGGAAGCAGCAGGGCTGAGAGGCAGGGACACTGCCCCTAGTTCCAGTGGAGTGTGAAGGGGCCATAACGGGGCTGCAGGTGGAGGAAGGTGGCGAGTAGAAAAAAAGCAGGAGAGGTTGGAGAGACCTGGCACAGGCCAGCAGATACCCAAGAGCTGATGGAATGGAACAGAAGATGCAGCCAGGCAGGAATTGGAGGACTGGACCAGTTTCCCGATGCTCTGCACAGGGATCCTTGAGTAAATCCCGAGTATCTCCTCTCTGGCCATTTCCCCACACTGCCTCCCCCTCTCTGGCTAGTTTTGGACTTGAGACCTAGCGATTGTAGGTGGTGGGAGTAGGGGGGTTAGGACAGCTCAGCGTGCAGGCAAATGCAGCTTGCTGGTACTGAGGAAAAATCATGAAGGGAGCAAAGCTGCTGCGTTTGGGGAGAACTATGTCAGAACGCAGCCCTAAACCGGGGGTGGGCAAGGTGTTTCTTGAGCTAAGCCTCCACTACTTGATCATGGCCATGTCGCTTTAACTCTTTGAGCCTCAGCCTCTGCATCATTACCTAAGGATGTTAACTTTGGCACAGGGGTTTTGGGGGATCAAATAAGATAATGGATGTGAAAGCCCCCTTGTCGACTTGTAAAATGCTATTTAAATGAGAGGCTTTACGGATACCAAACAAGAACCAGACTTCCAGACAGAGTGAGCTGTTATTAGTCTGTTCTTAAACATTTTCTACCTATTTTACACACACACACACACACACACACACACACACACACACACACACACCCCAGGTGTCACGGAGGGGACTTGAGAATTAATAGCAGGTTATAGACAGGCTGGCACTATGAAGGTAATGGCCATGCCAGAGGAGTGAGGCCTCAGTCCCTGAACCTGAAGAGCCCAGCCTGAGTTTAGGCCCTCACCAGCCCGTCCCATTACTCTTGGGAAAACCGCTCCCTCCAATACCAGAACGTTCTGGCCCTTGTTCTATCAGCTACCAACCCCTGCTTTGGGCTGGAGGATGCACGCACTGCCGGTTAGCCCCTCCATTTTGGGGAGACCCTAACCCCACGGCCTGTGGTGGGTAGCAGGTGAAGAATGAGAAACAGGCAGGCAAGGGGAAGGCCACTACTTTTTCTGACTTGGGTCCGTCCTTGGTGCACTGGGGAGGAGCCTTGCCTTGGTCAAGAAGAGAAGCCAGACTACTAAGCAGGAGACTGAGAGCTTCGGGCAGATGCGGGACCTCAGCAGTCAGAATGGGGCCGAGACTTCGACGGGCTCCCAGACGGGGCGCAGCCCTCACGCACGGGGATGCCGGCGCCCGAAACCTCCCCTCGCCCACAGCACTGCTCACTCGCGGGGAGTGAGCCACCGGTCCGCGCTTCAGCTTCTTTGGGTTCCCAACAGGGGACAGGTCTCCGGCACCTCGGCGCCCGGCTGGACCGCCGAGAGAAAGCACGAGAGCGAAGTCAGACGCAGCCGCCCCCGCCCCCCGCCCCGGCAGAAGCGGCGGGGCGCACGGAGTCTGAGATCCGGGCACTGCGGCCGGCCGCCCTTCCCCCGCCCCCCCCCCCCCCCGCCCCCCCAGAGCCTGTCTCTCGCTTCCGGCGAGGCTGACAGTTGGGGCGCCGCCGGGTGTGGGGCCGAGGCGGCGGGAGTGTGGTTATCTGCGCACAGCCCCTCTTGCCCCCGCCCCGCCCCCCGCAACTGTTTCCATTCTCGCCGAGCAGCCACGTCCGGGTCAGACACGCAGGACAGCGGCTGGGGATTTCCAAGGGACTTTCTGAGACAGCCAGTGAAAGTTGGGTGTCGGCTGCGTGGCCCTGGCACTCTTGCTAACTAACACCCACGTCTTCCCTCCAGGACGTAAACTCTAGCCTGGTGGGGTTGTTTCCCAAGACTTCTTTCAGATTGAAACTGAACGACAGAAACCGCCACCCCTGGAGCTCAGGGTGCTGGGCTGGGAAAGTCCTGGAAAAGCTCAGTTGGGATTGGGGTTAACAGACCGCTCCCCGAGCTTGAAGGCATCAGAGAACGGTTCTGGCTTGACAGGACCCGTGAGTGGTGACATGAGCGCCTGGGCCAGTCCCAGATTCCTCCCCTGGGCCTGGGAGGGTCACCGGAGAGGCAGCATCTCTCCCTCCTTCCCACACTGTCCAGGTCACAGGTAACAGGAGACACAGACTCACTAGCAACACCAGGCGGCTAAGACGCCAAGCCCCAGCGCAGGCACCCCTACCCCGAGTCAGAGCTCCGCCCGCGCACCCGTTCCAGGCACTTCCCCCACTATTTTGGTGAATTGTGTACATGCTGCATATACTGAAGAATGACTAAAAAAGGAGAGCAAACGAGTTTTACCTTTTATAAAACTTAAGTTACAGAATTTTCACATTGCTTTATTTTTATAATCACAAAAATCCTGAGGTAAATAGGATGTAATCACTTTTTTTGCAGATGGGGAACAAGAAAGGGAAATAAAAATGAGGACGCTTAACATGATTTTCTGTGGAAATTTAATAAATGAGAATTTATGGTAAATATTTAATTCCAAAACAAATAACTCACCTTGGCCAATACCGTGACATCACTCAAGGCCCTCTTACTAGGCCAGAGAGAAAAGGAGAGGCACGAACTAGCCAGACCAAGACCCAGCAGCAACCTGAGGGTCTCCAGTTAGGGGAACGCAGGAAAGTGGGGGGTGGGGTCATGGGCGTCACTGGTGGGCCTAAGGTATAGGAAGAACAGAAAAAAGAAGAAAACAAAGAAGGAAAAAAAGGTTTTAAACATGGTCAAGGGCAAGTAATACGAAGAAGCCTCAGGATTTCTTCAAGGGACACCTGTTGTGCCAGGTCTAGAGGGCAGAAGGCTGCAACCACCAGATGCCAGGACTACCAGGCTGACGGGGTTGCCTAGACTCAGGAGAACAGACCTCTGAGACCCAGGGAAGCTCACTAGAAAGGCTACAATCCCGGAGGCTCAGAGACAGATAACGAGGAGCAGAAGGGCCTCTGCTGCTCTGGGAAGATGCTTACTGGGCAACGAGTTCTTACTGTGCCCAGTTAAGACAAAGGAAGAGGGAGGCAAGGCATCTGTTATGGGCTTAAGAGCATTCCTAGGGGTTCACGTTTTCTGGCATCTGACCCAGAGTCCTGCCCATGCGCAAGGGCGCAGCCCCAGGCTGTGCGTAGGAAGGCCAGCATCCTACTCCCCACTGAAGTCAGCCTCTGCTAATCCACCAACCCAAACCACCCCCACCCCACAGCAGCCCAGAGAAGGTAAAATGGCCCAGGGGCACATTGTGCTGCTCTCTCAACAGTCTGCTGAATCTCAGAATCGGAGGGCGGCATGTATTTGAAGTTCTGCCCATTTAGTTTCACAACAAAAAGTAAGCAGAGGCAGAGACGAGGAGCAAGGACGCTGGCGGCCGTGCATCTTGCTAGGTCTTTATGGCTGTGTCTCTGGATTTGTAGGCCACTCCTCGACTCTTCAGCTCCCGCACGATTCCTGCAGCAGGAAGAGAAACGGCTCTGTAAGGGAAGAAGACTCCAGAAGATAAGAAATGTCCCTCGGGTACCACTTGGTGAGGGGAAGGGGTGGCACGCTCTAAGCAAACTGGAGTTCCTAGACTGCTCATCAACCGAACTGCATGGTCGGCTTGTCACCCTTGAGGATCCAGGCAAGTGCTTGGCAATGACTTGGTAAGAATGAGAAGAAAAAGAGAGACACATTGTAGTCATCAAAAGCAAGGGTTCTGGGGCTTCCCTGGTGGCGCAGTGGTTGAGAGTCCGCCTGCCGATGCAGGGGACACGGGTTCGTGCCCCGGTCCGGGAAGATCCCACATGCCGCGGAGCGGCTGGGCCCGTGAGCCATGGCCGCTGAGCCTGCGCGTCCGGAGCCTGTGCTCCGCAACGGGAGAGGCCACAACAGTGAGAGGCCCGCGTACCGCAAAAAAAAAAAAAAAAAAAGCAAGGGTTCTGGAGCCAGGATGCCTGGGTCCCCAAATTCTGGCTCGTTACTTACTAGCTGGGTGACCTTGGACAAGTTATTTAGCCTCTCTGAGATTTGCTTTCCCTCATAGAGTTGTGAGGACTGGCATTAATTCACATAAGAAACTTCCACAGAGCTTGGCACAGTAAATGAACATTGGCCGTTACTATGATTATTATTACCTTGGGGCAGGCGACCAGTGACTGACACTGCATACACACCTGGCTTAAAGTTACCTGAAAGAGAAGAAAAAAGACTGCAGTTTAAGAGTGAGTTACAACTAAAGACCAAATGGAAGCTTAAGCTAAAAATGAAAGAAATGCCGCCAACTCCCAGAGAAGAGCAATCACTTCTTCTGGCTCTACGTGTTAAACGACAGGACACAGGACACCTTCCTTGGCTTTCCTCCAACCCCATCGTTCTCACCCTGGGGCCACCTACCCACTGACTGAAGACTCCCCCACCAGCACCCTGGCCCTGACAACACAACCAGGCCAGGATAAAGAGAAAGGGAGACACTTACTGACTCGCTGCCACTTGGAGACCCAGCTGTCCTCTGGACTCATCATCGCAATGATTCTAGAAAGGGGAAAGAAACAGAGAGTCAGCCTGAGTTGCCTCTACTAGAGAACAGAGAGACTAAGGGAACTGTCCGCCCCACGCCCCCGCCCCTTTACTCTGTTCCCAGCCAGCACAACAGTTTTGGGAGAGGAAACCTAGGAAAAAGCCAAGTATTGAGTTTCTACCAGAAAGAAGGGGAAACTAAGTTCTAGTGCTGGGAAGGGACTGACGCAGAGCTAGTACTGACAAAGGTCCTTTGCACTTATGTCCCTGGCCCACCAGTCACAGGTCAGTCATCATCCCCCAAAGACTATCTCGCCATAGGATGCTCAAAAGCATCCTTGGCCTACCGATTCCCTGGGAAATGGGACAGCTTTTGAGGTAGATGGCATTACTGATTACAACCGACACAACCACTGAGGGCTGGAGCCTAGTGCAAAGGGGAGGGTGAGTCAAAACAATGGGTCCTCTTACTAGAAACAAGTTAGACTTAAGCAAGCTCTGCCTTTAATGAGCTGTATAGCCTGACACACGTATGGAGACCTCCCTCAGAATTTCATCAGTAAGATGAAACTAGAAGGTTGAGCTAATACATGAAAAACCCTAGCACAGAGTAGGTGCTAAGTAAACATTAGCTCTCCTTTATTATCCTAATCATTCTTCTCAGGGTAGCTCTAATCCCAGAGCACAGGCAACAGAGGCTACGCAAGGGCCAGAAGCCTGCTACCGAGCATGACAGGTAAGCTTCAGGTGCTTTCAGAAGCTACAGAGGTCACTTCTGTCATTCCCGCATTCGACCAAATACTTACTGATTGCCTCCTGTGACAGATCTGTACCAGGCACTGGTATTTGTTGACTACCTCCTCGGTATCCATTCCCCCTTCTCCTGGTAGCAATCCTGGATTCTTATTTGGGAAGCCTCCCTCCCCATCCAAATCCTACATTCTCAGCTATATGCTTTGAGTGGAACTGACGCCACCTCCAGGGGTGGCAGGCAGGGTAATACTTGCCCTGGCCCGGCAGACCAGTCTGGGGTAGGCACGTATGCAGGCTGTCCTTCTGACCAAAAGTATATTCTCCTCTGTCCTTCACAATCTATCCTTCCAGCCTTACAGTGTCTGTTATCCAACCTTATGACTTAACCTAAACAGAATTCCCACCATTCTCCAAACATACCCTGGTTTTCCCACCCCATGCCCTTGCTCAGGTCAGTCCCTTTGTTTAGAATGCTTTTTCTACCTTTCTCTCATCTCAACCTCCTCAAAAATCCTGTACTTCTTTCCTTAATTAAGAGGCTGACTCATAAGCTATCTCCTCCACTTCTGGCTGAGTTCACCAAGCCCTCCTCTGATCTCCTTTAGCCTTTGATATACTCACTCTTCAAATCCTAATATGCACCAGAATAAATAAATAACTCCTACAACTCAACAACAAAAAACCAAAAACCTCATTCAAAAATGGGCAAAAAACTCTACTTGCTCAGTTCTCATCAACTCAACTCTTAAGGAACTCGAAAACAATGACAGCTTAACCTGGACATGTGCAGCTATTATGCCCAGACTCTGATAAATGGTCATAACCTTTTGTTTTTTAATTGAACATAGCATGCTTCAGAACTCTCTGACAATCCTTTAGTAAGACACTAACAATATCAGAGTTGTCACTTAATGTAAAACCCAGAACCGTAGCCCAAAGATGGGAGTCCTCAGACACTTCTTGCTTAGAAGCTGTAGTTATTTCCAAGTCTTCATAACTGAATTATATTTGAAGAGACTTTTTTCCAAAGAAGATATACAAATGGCCAATAAGCACATGAAAAGATGCTCAACATCACTAATCATTAAGGAAATGCAAATCAAAACCATAAGATACCACTTCACACCCAACAGGGCAGCTATTATCAAAAACAAAACAAAAAACAGAAAGTAACAAGTGCTGACAAGGATGTAGCGAAACTGGAACCCTTGTACTCTCCTGGTGGGAATGTAAAATGCTGCTGCTATAGAAAACAGTATCGCAGTTCCTCAAAATGTTAATCAGAGAATAATCCAGCAACTCCACTTCTGGATATATACCCCAGAGAAGTGAAAGCAGGGACCTAAACAGGTATTTGTAAAGCCATGTTCATGGTAGCATTATTCCTAACAGCCAAAAGGTAGAAGCAATCCACGTGTCCATCAATAGATGCACAGGTAAATAAAATTTGGTATATACATAAAATGGGATATTATTAAGCTTAAGAAGGAAATTCTGACACATGCTACAATATGGATAAACCTTGAAGACATTATGCTACGTGAAATGAACCAATCACAAAAGGACAAATATTGTAAGATTCCACTTACAGGAAGTACCTAGACTAATCAGATTCACAGGGAAAGTAAAATGGTGGTTGCCAGGGGCTGCGGGGAGGAGGAAATGAGAAGATGAAAAAAGTTCTGGAGAGACTTCCCTGGTGGTCCAGTGGTTAACACTCCACGCTTCCAATGAAAGGGGCGCAAGTTTGATCCCTAGTGGGGGAACTAAGATCCCACATGGCGTGTGGCAAAAAAAAAAAAGTTCTGGAGATAGATGGTGGTAATAGTTGCATAAAAATATGAATATATTTAATGCCGTTGAATGAATTCTACACTTAAAAATGGCAAAAAAATTTGATGTATATTTTACCAGATTTTAAACAAACAAACAAAAAACCCTAACATGCAAAACTTTACACTGTTGTCTCTCTCCTACTGGTAAGTATCTCATTGTGTAACTCTTGCCATCTCTCACACCATCCACAGATGGGAGTCCATTCATTTGTTAGCACTGGATGGTAACAGTGCTAACAAATGAAAGAACTGGAGTATCTGAGTGTGCACATGAATGTGTACATATGTACGAAGTAAAGATTCCATGACAACATCTGTTTTGCTCAATTCTTTACTCTTCCTTAAAGGCAAACAAAGGAGAAATGAAGTTGGCCCACCTTGAAGGAACTTTAGCATGCACTGGTTTGGGCCCAGTTTGCATGTAGACCCTTAATTGGCCTAGAAACCAAAAGAAACTTAACCCCCAAAGAATACTGCCCTCTGGCTCCTCCCTTGGGGAAGGAAAATTGAGACCTAGCCACTCACACTTCTCTCATTCCCCTTCCCCCAACTGGGCAATCTTACCAAGGGAAAACTTTTCTCTTAGGGCCTCTTAGAGATATCTAAAAGCATCAGCTTTGGGGCCAAAATTTACCCTTCATTTTCAAAAAGGATCTTCATACATTCAACAAATGTGTATTAAGTATCCATCACCTTCCAGGCCCTATGCCAGGTCATGGTGCATGACATAAACAGTCCCTATCAGCAGTGAGCTAATAGTCTAGTGAAGACCTGTCCAGTGGAAATATAATGAAAGCCATGCAAGGCATTTTAAAAATTTTCTGTAGCCATGTTAAAGGAGTAAAGACAAAAGGTGAAATTAACTTCAATAATATATTTCATTTAACCCAACATATTCAAAGTATTATTATTATGGCATGTGATTAAAACAAGTCAAGATATTTTACATTCTTTTTCCTTGTGCTGAGTCTTTGAAACCCAGTGCACACATTACAGGTAAAGCATATCTCAATTTGGACTAGCCACATTTCAGGTACTCAATGCCACACATGGCTAGTGGCTGCTGTACTGGACAGCACAGGACTAGTGTGCCTCAAAATAAGTTTGAGACCAACTAGGATTAGGGTCTCAAGAGTCTGTCCACATTTACTTGGTGGGATGCGGGTAATGTAAAAGAATGAATGCAGCAGTCTAAAGGGCTTACCCATCAAAGGAAGAGCTGGTGCAGTCATATACCATCTCTCGGTTACCCTTCATCTGAAGGTATGCATCACAATTGTCACAACCATCATATTCAAACTGGTCTATAGTCTGGGAGGGGAAAAAAAGGAGAGAGGTGAGCATGAACAAGGCGAAAGGAAAAAACAGCTTTCCCCATACTTTTATCTGGTCAAGTACAAGGCTCCCTATGTTAGTTCTGTCTCATCAGGTCCCCCACCCACCATTCCTACAGCCCCTTTCCTAAGTTCCACTCTCACAATCCTTCTTCTCTTGTTCCCAACTGCGTTTTACCTATTCCTCTCCCTAAATCTCCGTGGGGTCAGGCACCTTCTCCGACTACTCCCTCAGCTGCAGATCCCCACCTTCCTCCAATTCCTAACGTCCTTCGGCTCCAACAGAAGTTCACTGAACGTCTGTAAAGGATCAGGCCTGTGCTGAGAGCTGAAGTTGCAAAGGCATGTGAGAACGTCCACGCCCACGGCTGCAAGATTTGCCTGCGTTCCTACCGACTTAAAACGATGGCCTCCTGCTGCTTCCCACGTCCCCCTGCCACCCCCTGGGTCCTGGACCTAACTTCTCTCTTCACAGTTCCTGTAGCCCTGTTCCACCCACTTTCCCCCAGCTGGGTCCCCCATCGCCCGTACAACCAGGTTCCCCACAGACACCTTGACCAGCGAACACAGCAAACAAGCCCGCAGATGCCGCAGGTCTTTCGGCACCGTCTCCAGGGCCATCTTCTCCCACGGAAGAACAGCGAAGGAAGGAGCCACTTCTCTCGCAGGAAGTAAATAGCAAATTACCCAGAATGCCCGCACTTCCGGTTTCCCAGACTTCCTCTTCCGGCGTGGGAGGCCGCCGGCCCCGCCCCTCCACCCGCCTTGGGAGATGGTTTCTCCCGCCAGGAGGCGGGGCGGGCCGGGAGTCACCTGGGCCGGCGCGCACCCCCGCCACCTGGGCCAGCGCGAGGGCGAGGCCTGGCGGCCATTGGGCCTGTGGGCGGGGCCCGTGGGGGAGGTGCGGCGCCGTTGGCGCCTGCGCGCGCGCCACGACCCGGGCGGAATCCCGGCGCGCGGACCGTTTGATCTAGGCCGCTGGCACCGGGCCGCAGGTCCCCTGGAGGATCCTGGATGACAGCGGAGATTCTTTTTTGTCTTCCCGTCTTAAAAGCGCAGGGCCAGCGAATCCACTGCCTCCCTGTGGATTATCTCTGCAGAGACGAGAAGAAATCCAGGGGCCGCCCCCCTCCTTCCTAACAGGGAGGGAGCGTGATTGGATTTCCATTTGCGTCCACAGAAACGCTGGCCGGTGAGCAGACGGCCGAAAAAAAATGCATATTTAATTATTTCTAGAAGCTCTTTATGTACATTTGCACGTTCCAGCTGATAATTTACGCTTTGTGCAGCTTTTAGCATTTAGATACAGTTCCTTTACTTCAGATCATCTGTAGGAGATTGTGTCCTTTTTTTTTTTTTTTTTTAATTTCACCCTATGGGGGCTTCCCTGGTGGCGCAGTGGTTGAGAGTCCGCCTGCCGATTCAGGGGACACGGGTTCGTGCCCCGGTCCGGGAGGATCCCACATGCCGCGGAGCGGCTGGGCCCGTGAGCCATGGCCGCTGAGCCTGCGCGTCCGGAGCCTGTGCTCAGCAACGGGAGGGGCCACAGCGGTGAGAGGCCCGCGTACAGCCAAAAAAAAAAAAAAAATTCACCCTATGGGATGCTAAATGCCTTTCTCTCTGGTTCAGAACTGGGCACCAGACAACGACCGCCTCTAACACACCTTTCCTGGAGAAGAAAGGGAAAATGTGCTTTGTGAGGAGAGCAAAGGCCCCTCCAGGCCCCGTGGAATTCTTCATACCTGCAGTAGCACCAGCTCTGTTGATGCTCACAATAGTCCCGTGTGTAGGCAGAGGACAGTCATTTGTGTTTATCTGAGTTGGAGCTTTGGGATATAAATAGTTTCAGGCCCTGCTGCTCTCCCTTCCCAACCAGGCCTCCTAAATTGAAACTGAGCTTCAAGACCGGTCTGCTGCTGGTGCCCGTCCCATGTCGTGCTCAGATGGGCTCTGTGACTGGGGTTAGGATGTTCTCTATCACTGCATACTTTCTACCTTGGAACACAGTGCACTCTGTTGTCTCACGGGAGCTCTCCAACGACTCCGTGAAGTGGGCCCATTTCATGGGTGGGAAAAGGCACCAGCGTATTTGAGTATACTCAGCTATGTCTGAGTATTTGCCCGGGGTCACAAAGAAAGTCACTGAAGCGTTATAGAGTGTGAAGTAAACAGTACGATAATAGTACAGATAACGCACTGAACCACAGTGAGAATCCAGTCATGCTTTCTCTTTCCGTGATCTCACTAAACCACGCTTTTAGGGGCTTACAAGCCAAGCCCACCACTCTACTCTGTCCTTTCATAAATCAGAGCCTGGCCTCTGCTATCGGGAATAATTTATCTTTGCCCACGCAGAAGACAAAGTTGTCACCCTGAGTGACAGTCATGACAGAAGAAAACGACGAGACCGGGTGGAATTTATGGATAAATATATTAGCAAATAAATACATTTCTCAACATAGTGCCTGATTCAAGCGTCTGTCTGTCTGTTCGGATATAAATACCCCCGTGGGTGCCTAGGTGCTAGTTCCCCACTGACTTGGAGGGAAGAAAATTCCCAGGTGAGGTCCTGTGCCCACTTTGCTCCCACATTCACATTCCAAACGGGATAATGCCTGAGGGGCCAGCAATGGTCCAACTTCCCTGGGGTGCATGTCACCCTGAGGAGGCCCCTCAGCCCTTGCCCACTCGATACCAGCTGCCCAGGCCAGGCTTCCTGCTCCAACTCCACTCCTTCCTGCGTGTCTCTGGCCTGCATGGCTTATACTGGGAAGCCGGGCCTCTGGGCCATCTCATCCCAAGGGCCCCATATTACGGCTCCGTCTCCTTTGTGCTCCCGTTCCCTATCCCCGGTCGGAGAGAAAACGCCCAGAGAAAACTGCCTTGTTCAGCTGTAATTTTGCCTTTTCTACCTTCATTCCTTCCTTCCTCTTCCTAAATAAAGTCCAGCAGAAATCCTCTTCTTTCCGCCTCCTTTGGGACTTTGAGACAGGAGGTCCCCAAGGAAGAGCTACTCCCTTCCCACTACCCTCACCCCTACCCCCAGAGGAACTGAGGCTGCTGGAGTGACAAGGGAGTTTGACGATCAGAGGCTTCGACCCAGGTTCTTCAAGGTGCTGTACCACATCAGGGACAGAACTGCACACCCTGGCTTCCCCTCTGACTTAATATAGTGGATGTGACAAGTACGGACAAGGAGGGAGAAACATCCTCCCTTGTGCACCAGGGGAGGCCCTGCCTGGTGAAGCTGCAAAGCCCCCCTTCTTAGGGCTCAGGGCTCACCTATGCTCCTGACCTTTTTGCAAAGAAGGAAAATGATAAGAACCAGGGTTGCCGCTGATGCAGCAGCCTTACCAAGGAGGAGCCAAAGCCGGTGTGCAGGACTCTCCCAAGGAAGGAGGTGAGAAGGGTCATGCATTCAGCTGGACCCGTTTGCTGGTATGAACATGAGGCTTGGAATGAGGGTTACCTGCTGGGGCTGGGGAAGGAGCACCACCTTTATAACACCTACCTACCTATACCTAGCTTCCTGCTCTCAGAAAGCCCCAGCCTGCAGGGGAGCCAACCCACACAAGTGGTAGCTGGTTGCCTGGCTGGACACAGACTTGCTGCACTGCAGATGCTTCTGCAGACAAGGTCTGGAGCTGGGAGCGGGAGACAACACCTCCTGCCGCCCACCATCACACTCCTCTGCCAGTGGTTCCAGGAAGGATGGCAAAGAAAAGGGGTGTTTTCTGAGGTCCTTTCTTTTCTCAGGAGCAGGACTCTGTGCCAGGTAGGGCCCTGAGTCATCTGGCGAGCACTCTTGGTTGGAGCTCGGCCTGAACGTCTCACACGGCCTGTTCACACAGCTCCTCAAGCTCCTCCTCTTCTGAGCCTGCATTTAGAGAGAGAGGAGGAAAGAGGTCACTGAGGGTCAGGCCAGTCTTCTGCTTGTTCCACCGGCAAGAGAGTATGGCTGGGAGCGAACTACAGAGAGGCAGGAGCAGGGAATAGGTCCAGAAGGGTGATCAGATTGAAAGCTGAGAGCGGCCCCCGTTGGGACACAGGAGAGAGAAAAACGAATCTAGAGAGAGAGATACATAGATAGCAACCAGTGTGTTACCCATACTTACTATTTATTCATTCGCCCAGTAAACATTTATTATGCACTTGTGGATCTGGCCTGCTACCATGTGCCAAACAGAAGACCAAAAAGACTAAGCAGGGACCTGACAACCTTGTAGGAGAAAAGGTGTGCACGTAAGTGGCAATTATGCCAATGGGGGCAGGACTGGGGTCATAAGAGATGAATCACGGAAGGAGAAAGGTCATGTCCAAGTGGAGCATCAAGAAGGGCTTCCTGAAAGTGGGGATAAATGCGCTGGTCCTGCAGGAATAGGGAAGAATTAGATTTACGGGAACAGGAAGGCAGCAGAATATTCTGGGCTGCAGAAACCGCAGGAAGTGTTTACCTAGTTTGGCTAAAGCTTGGAGCAGGGAAGGGAAGGGGAAGAGTGGAAAATAAGGTTGGGAAGGAAGATGGGGGCTAGCTGGTACTAGGGCCTTGAAGGCCAAACCAGGTTGGATTTTTCTTTACTCTGAACAAAACAGAACATCTGAAGATTTCTAGAGAGCTTGTTTGAGGAGGATGACCCCGGCAGCAGAATGGAGGGTGGGTGAGCAGGATCACAGTGTTGTGTGGCCCTACAGGACAGACACTGATGTGCAGGGCCTGGCCTTCACGGCCCTGTGACAGAGAAGGGAGGAGCCAGGGGGCTCCCGCCCCGACCTTCAGGCTGCACCTAAGACGTGGACTGGCGCCAGCAGTACTGGAGAATATGGTAAAGCTTAGCAGAGACATGGTTGACAGAACCTGGCGAGGATTATATCTGAAGAGCAGGGGAAAGGGAGGCATCGAAACCAGTTACGAGTTTGAGAGAGAGAGGGCAGGTAGTGGTCTGGCACTGGCAGCACTGAAAGTATACACATGACAGGATTCAAAAGGAACCATCAAACACATGGCCACATCGGCATTACATGGCCCTATGGAAGCAATTGTCTTCTATACTATAACAGCTTGCATGCCTATCTCTCCACAGACCTGGTTCTCCTGGTTGACAAGTTCCATGTCCTCAGAGCCTGGAACCTAGCACATAGCGAGCATACAACGCAGAAAGAAAAATGGAAGGAAGAAATGAATGGATGGATGATAGCAGCTCTCAGGTCCTGCCTGTAGGATTCCTGGACCCCAAAGTCTTATATTTCAGGACCTTTGAGGGCAGAGGGGTCCTCCTAGCGATGGCTCTAGGCAAAGAGCTGTGTCATCCACACAGTGGGGAAAGATGGGGAAGAGTAGGGGTTAGGGGATCCGGAAGAGGAAGAGGAGGATTTGAGCAAATAAATACCCAGTTAAAGTCAAGGATTCACATTACCACCACTGGCTGCAGTACAGTAATAGGGATGCACTGAGTCCCCAAGAAAATGAAGTCAGTCTTAGTAACAAAGATGCATAGAAGGGAAAGCCCTAGTAGTTCTTTCACCCGGAGGAACGGAGAAAACCACAGGGCTGCTAGGAACCAACTGTGATCTCTCTCCTTTTTTTTTTTTTTTTTTTTTTGCATCATTCACATAGCTCTTCTCATATAACCCAGAATTATGGTTCTCTGTAGTTATTTCTCCTATAAGATCTCATATGGCCTGGGATTACGGTTTTCAGTAACTATCTGTCCATGCTCTCCTCAAGAGCAAGGAACAGTCCTTGGCCTTCTTTGTATTTACAGCTAATACTAAGCTATATGCTCAGCTGTACCAATTTTTAAGATATTGAAACACTCACGATTGAGCTGCTGCCCCAAGCCACCCCAAGTACTTTCTGCTGTCTCAGCCACCCTGGTACCTCACCTGAGACCTCCCTAGGATCTGGCAAGTAAAGGATTAACACCTGGCAGAGCCAGCATCCTACGCTATGCCAGTTGTCCACTATTTTGAATGTCACCCCTGTTGGACCCTTCTCAGCTTCCATCAACCCTCTGGATGACTTGACCCGTTCTGCCATATCCAGCTCTAGTCTCCTGTCCCCGCCAGACCCATTTCCCCTGAAAACTCACCAGGCTGGGCTGGCAGCACCTGGCAGTGTGGGTAAGGGCATGGCCTACCCTCTGGGGTGCCAGAACTCCATTCGGAAGGCCCCTCCCCAGACGGATATGGTCCTAGGGGCTGGCGTGTAGTCAGACACAACCACACCGGCTGTGAACCTGGGTAAGTAGGGCCTGGGGTTTCTGGTAGCAGCCTCCTGTCCAGGCCCGGAGGTCCGAAGATCAATGGGTGGGCCTCTGGAGACCAAGGATATGCCAGGCTGGGGCCATAATTGGGAAAAATCTGGCACACTCGGTGTGCGGCCAAGTCCTGGGGTCGAGAGGCTGGGGAGGGCTCTGAGGGACTCCCGCGCCGTTTCCTCTGTGTGTGTCGCACAGGGAGGCTGGATTTCTGCAAGTGGAAGAGGCTGCTGGGACCAGGGCTGGGGCTGGAGGCGTCCGCTGGCCCAGGGGCTGGCTCGGTGAGGGCCCTGGGCCGTTGTGGGCTGGGGAGCTGTCCCGACGGGGCTGCTGGGTTGGATCTGGCTGCTTGCGGATCAGGTGAAGGCAGCTCTGGCTGGAGTTGTGTCCGAGGAATGGCAGGCCTGGACTGCGGGACTCCAGTTTCTGGGCCAGACCTCCTGCCGTGCCACTGGAAACGCTTTTTGTAGTGGTAGTGCCGGTGGCGGTGGTAGTGGACATGGCTGGAAACCGGGGTTTCCCCTGTGGGCACCACTGAGTCCAAAGAACGGGGCCGAGAGGTCATGCTAGGCTGAGCCTCCTCCCGCCGGCGCTCCCCTTCAGGGCTGCAGTACACCAGGGGGTCAAAGTCACTGCTCAGGGAGCTGCGGAAGGTAGAACTGCTGCCGTGGATGCCCTGCAGGCTGATGTCCGTGCAGTTGACCACTGAGTCACTCGAAGAGCCGTGACAGGGCCCTGAACTGGAGTCACTGGCTGGCCCGTCTGCCAGGTAGCCGCTGCGTTCTGTGCAGTAGCTTTCTCCAGACCCGCTGCTGTCGTGAGGCCTGGCCCGGCGTGGGGGCATGGGGCAGGTGGCAGGGTGCTGCAAAGTGCACCGCAGGTGGCTCAGCCCCCAGCCCTGCGCAGACGGGCTCTGGGCCACTGCCAGGCGCTGTGGTTCGCCTGGAGCCCGGGGATGTGCGCCTCTGGGGAGGCGGTGGTGCCGAGGGCCCACGCCTGGCTCCTGGGATGGTAGGAAGGGACCAGGCCGTGTGGGCCGAGCCGCTGCGCTCCGGGAAGGGCCCGACAGGTAGGCAGCAGGCAGGTGGTAGTGGGCATGGCCGGGATGCTGGCGAATGAGGTGGAGTCTTCGGCCTGGTTCTTGGTAAGATCGAGACGGTCCCAGGGACTGAGAAAGTGAATCTCCCTCTGGAAGAGAGAACCAAGAGCACAAGTGTTTGACTCCACAAACGGAAGGAGGGTGCATTCAGAAAAGCGTGGCTGTAGCGTACTTATTGAGCCTGCATCGCCCGCAAGTTCCATCAGAGTTTGGACGACCGAGGATACTCCTAACCTGCCTGTGCCCGGGGATACCCTTGCTCCCTCCAGTCAGTTGTCTCCTTGGGTGTTCCACTGTGCATGGCAAGCCCTGCTCCTCCCATCAGCCCTTTGGGGACTCGCGCCCAGGGCCACTGCTAGCCCACACTGCACCTTTGGGTGAATTAGAAAAAGGCTCTCTTTCCTCAAGACACTTCACTTTCATCTTTTAGAAGACTGTCATAATATCCTGGTTTTGTTCGAACAGAATACTTTATTGCCAGAAAAGTGGAATAATAAATATACAAATCTTGGACTTCCCAGGTGGCACAGTGGTTAAGAATCCGCCTGACAATGCAGGGGACGCGGGTTCGAGCCCTGGTCTGGGAAGATCCCACATGCCACGGAGCAACTAAGCCCGTGCACCACAACTACTGAGCCTGTGCTCTAGAGCCCACGAGCCACAACTACTGAGCCCACGAGCCTCAACTACTGAGCCCACGTGCCACAACTACTGAAGCCCACGCATCTAGAGCCTGTGCTCTGCAGCAAGAGAAGCCACCGCAATGAGAAGCCCACGCACCGCAACGAGAAGCCCGGGCACCGCAATGAAGAGTAGCTCCCGCTCACCACAACTACAGAAAAGCCCGCGCACAGCAACGAAGACCCAACGCAGCCAAAAATAAATAAATAAACAAACAAACAAACAAATCAGTCAGATTTAAAATCAACAAAGTTGTCATGAAAATACATCATAAAGATGCCTGCAGTGCAATGGCCGCCACCTCAGATGAGGCCCTTTCGAGCAGTGCACAGCTTAAAGAACAACTGAGGCAGTCCTGCCTTCTCTTCAGCTTCGAGGCAAAACACTTGCCCAGAGGGAAGCCCCTTCTAGACCCATCTGCCTGCGCACAGGGGAGTCCTTGGCCCACCTCCTACCTACGATGTTGAACATGCAGAGGGGGCAAGTGCGATGCTGATGCAGCCAGGGGTCCACACAGGTACGATGGAACTCATGGAGGCAGGAAATGACCCGTAGCTCCTGGAGAAAACAAGGGGTCTGAACCAGAGTTGTCTGTAGCTACAGCCGTGGCCAGGAAGCAGGGCGTTCCCGACTCCCTCTGGCCTCTCCTTACTGCCGCCATCTGCTTTCAAAGACCTCACAGTAGGACAGAAATGGTATGGGCTTTGATATCAAGTAGACCTGGTTTTTGCCACTTAGCTGCATGACATCGGGCAAGTTTCTTCACAGACAGTTTTCTGCTGTAAAATGAGGCTAAAAAACTAATCTACCCCCACCCCTCACTGTCACGAGGCTAAAACGAGACGATGCCTCTAAAGCATCCACTGCAGAGCCTGCCATGTGGTACACACTCAACAAACAGTAGTTCTCTTTCCCTGGAAAGCCAGGAAAATAACCAAACCTCAGGGTTGCCTGTGCAGGATACACAGGACATAGATGCAGCTCGAGCACTCACGCCAGCCTTAAGTGCTTCCTCCCCCAAGCTCCAGCCTCCCTCCCCAGCCTGGTCATGGAGGTGAACCACGGCCCTGCCTTACCTGGCCCTCTGAGAACTCCTCCAGGCAGATGGCGCACACAGGGGCTGAACTGCAGCTGCTACCTGAGTCTGGCCACTCGGCCCGGGCCCTCCTGCAGCCGGGCTGGTACCTCCTGGTGGCCAGCTGGCTGATGGCCCAGGCTGTTCGCTGCTGAAGGGGATCCTGGGAAGAGGGGTGGGGCCAGAATGGGGCAAGGGCTCCTCTTTCCTCAGCCCTGGACTCCAGCTTGTACTCGGTTCCCAGCCACCCAGTTAGATCCCGTGACCACTTGACCACTCCGAGGCGTTTGTATCCTCGGAGTTCCTACGTGGCTCTGCCAAGCAGGCTAAGCCCTCCCATCCCATTCCCCACTCATACTATTCATCCCATTCCCCACTCATACTATTGATTTTCCTTCCCTCAATGACCCATGAGAGCAACTTTTTATCCAACTGCCTGCTTGACATCTCAACTTGGATATCTAACAGGCACGTCAAACTTGACAGGCCCCACACTGAACTAATCCCATGAACCGCCCAACCACACACCTGTCCTCCCGCAGTCTTCCCCACCTCAGTAAAGGGAATTCCATTCGTTTAATTGCTCGGGCCAAAAATCCTGTTGCCATTCTTGACCCTTCCCTTGAACTCCGTGATCAGTCCATTAGAAACCTGTCAGCTTTGCCTTCAAAGTGTATGGAGAGTCTAACTAATCCTCACCACTTTCACTGCTACCTCCCTAATCCAAGCTACCACTACTGTCCCCTGGATTCCTGTAATAGCCTCGGAGCTGGTTTCTCACCACAGATCAGGTGAGGTCAGACCATGGCTCTCCTTCCGCTCAAAACCCTCCCGTGAGTGAAAAAAAAATCCTGACAAAGGCCTTAACGGTCCAATACCACTGGGCCCCATGAACTCTCTGTCCCCACCTGCTGCTCTGCCCTCTCACTCACTGGATTCCAGCCACAGGACCGTCTGGCTGTTCGTCAGACATAACGGGCACACTTCTGCCTCAAGGCCTTGGCACTTCCTGTTTTCTCGCCTCAATCACTTTCTCCCCAGGTATCTGCACAGATCACCCCCTCACCCGTTGAGGGTCTTACCTGTAATGTCATCCTCTCAATGAGGCCTTCCCTGGCCTTGCTTTTAAAAATTAACCCTGTCCCCTTTCCATTCCCTCCCCTTTTCTATTTTATTTTTCTCCCTGGCACATACCACCGTCTAAATTATTGTATATTTTACTTATTTATTTACTTACATTTTACTTATTTATTTACTCATTCATTTTACCTATTTATTGTCTGTCTCTTTCCATTAGAATGAAAGCTCCCCGAGGGGAGGAATCTTTTGTCTTTTTGTTCACTGCACTATATCCCCAACAGCTGGAACAGTGCCTGACACAGAACAGGAGCTCTCACTCTATTTGTTGAATGAATGAACACATGAGGGCTCTTGTGGAGAGAGGCTGCTGGAAATCAGCAAGGTCATTTGCCGGGGGATTTAGGTGTAAACTGTTTCACGGGCGTAAAGGCACCTTCTTTCCTCACTTTGCCCTTCCTGCTCCCCACCTTCCCCCACACGTGCACTCGCCCACCTCCACCAGGGAGCCCACCCGCCTCACCAGTCTGCTGTGACGGGGGCGGCACCGGATGCGCAGCACCGAGGCCAGGATGACCACAAAGATGGTGCCCACCACCGTCAGGAGGATCCACACGTCATAATCTGGCTGGGGGAGCGAGCAGAGAGGGAAAGGGTCACGCTTCCGGAAGGAGCGGGGCCAACCCGGGAGAAACACAGGAGCCCAGGAGACACACAGAGAACTGGAGGGCCCCTTGAGTCTTCCAGCAGAGGGGATGAGGTTGCAGGTGGGCTTAGGTGGTCCCTCTCTGCCCACGGGCACTCCTCCAAACGTCTGCTGTGAGAGGTACTATCTCGAGACCCATGTGCTTGGGAAAAAGGGGACAGGGGCCCGTCTACAAGGTGCAAGCTACCCAGTGAGCAGCTGGCCGAGCTTCCCAGTCGATGGAGAAATACCAGCCAGGATTCAGGGGGCCTGGGGACAAGGGTTTCATTCTGGCTCTGCTACTCTGTGCCATGAAACCACGATGCTGAAAAACAACTTTAGAGCTCAGCTGACCCAACCTGTTCATTCTGCAGATGGAGCTCAGAGAGGGGAAGAAACTTGCCTAGAGGTGCACAGCTGGTGGACAGAGTTGAGCTAGAGGGTTTCCAAGGTCTCTTTAGCTCCAGGAGTCTAAGGGCTTTTGGTGAGAGTCACCGCAGGAAAAAGTGCAGGTGACAGCAGGTGCTGGGGCCAGGGCTGGAGACCTAGCGTGCTTACCCACATCAGGGGCTCCTTCAGCTCAATCCTCACGTGGGCCTTTCGGTTCTTGTACACAAACTCCATCAGCTTCTCGGCATCATTACCCCAGATCAACACCACTGGCCACGTCAGCCCCAGGGGCTGCTGCAGCTGCAGGAGGGAAAGTGCCCACAAGGGTGGCTGTGTCCTGACTTCCTCCCCGGCACATTTCTCTTCCTTCGTCCAGCCCCCTCCTCAAACACCCCACGTCCCGGGTACCTGTTCAGCAGCAGCTCGATCCTCCGTGATGTCAAAGAGGACGGCGCTGGCTCCCCGCTCCCCCGCCATCCGGGCCTGCAGAGACACACAGCAGAGGTCCCGCAGGGGTCAGACACACAGCCCATCCACGCCCTGGCCTCGCCGCCCCCTCGCGTCCCTTCCTAGGATTTTGCACACACCACACCTCTGTACACCCCCACATATAACACATGCAAGGGGTCAGTGGGGTTAGGATCCCCTGCCCCGCCCCAAGCTCACCCAGGTCCACTGCCTTCCAGGACAACATTCAGTCCTTCCTTTCGTAATGGAACAAACCCCTAACAGGGTTTAGTAGGTGCCAGGGGGTGGACTAGGCTCTAGGCCTAAGGACAAATAAGACACAGCCCCTGCCGTCAGGGTGCCTCCGGTCCGCCTTCACGAAGCACTGTGAGAACCGAGAGCAGGGAGCCACCAGCACACCCCAAGGCCTGGCGGGGGTGGTGGTGGTGACCAGTCCCCAGTACAGAGAGGTGGACAGCTCCTTCAGAACAGAACTGGGCTTTCCAGGGTCCAGCCCTGCCTGACAAGAGGAGCCTGCAGAGCATCCCGTCCCCCACCTCAGGCCAAGTTCCTGGAGCCTGGGACACTGCTCTCACCCAAGGCGTCTGTGATAGCCCCAGGCTCAGCGCATCTCACGGCTCTCTCTCCCTGCCACACTCTAGTCTGCAACTCTTTCTCTGGCTCCAATTCAAGGACTTACTGGAGTCCCTGTCTGGTGCTTTATCCCTTCACCCCCTCCCTGAGGGTGGCAGTAGAGACTCGGGTTGGGAGGGACCCGAGGGGCTGTTTCCACAAGGACACAAGTGTGCGCACGTGCCACATGCACATGCACATGCGTGCTCGCCAAGGCTCTGAGAGGATCTAGCCAACCAGGCAAAGCAGAGAGCAGAGCCAGAAAGAGAACAAAAAGCAGGAATCTAGGGGCTCTGGGTGTGGGGTAAGACCAGGGAGATAAGAGCTGAGGGGGTGGTGGAGGCACGAGGGCAAAGGACCCACAGACAGACCCTGCTCCGGCCTCACTGTCGACTCTCTCCCGGGCGCTGGCGCTCTCCAGCGCTCCTCCCTAGGGCAAAGGCTCACCTTGCGAAGGCATCAGGCTGGGACCTCAGGCCCCTGGGGCCTGCTGATCCTTTTGGGCCTTCCTGCAGGCACTGAAGGAGTTAACCCTTCTGCAAGTAGTGCAGTCAGGAAGAGGAGCCGGTGCTCCGGCTTACACTCCAGCGCTTTGATCTCTGCTTCCCTTCCCTTCTCTCCGGTGAGAGCCTGTTGGGGCAGGTCTGCTGCCAGGCAGGCCAGGGGAGCGGCTGGGCTCCCGCTCCCTGATCCCTACTCCCCAGGCGGCCTCGGGGGCCAGAGGGCCCCTCAGAACAGGCAGCCTGCAAGCAGGAGAGCCCAGGGAGGGTGGTGGAGACACTCAAGTGGGGCCTTTTCGGCCAGGAGGGTACCTTCCCTCTTCCCTCCCTCCTTCCCTGAGGAGCTGGGCTAGGCCCTCTCTCTACCAGCACCCAGGCCCAGCCCAGGCCCAGGCTCGCCAGGCTAATTGACCGGAAATTCACAGGACTCGAGAATGGAACTGCTGAAGAAATGGAGAGGTCACAGCCTCCATCCTCCTCTAGCCTGCTTATTCCCAGGAAGTCTCCCCCACCGAGGCGACCCCAGGCAAAAAGAAGTTGTCCAGTCTTCAGAGCCCTCCAAACCAGGGCCTGGGAGCAGCCCTAGGGGAAAAGGAGAAAGACTCCTGCTAATCTCATAGTCCATGACTTAACCAAGGGGTGGGGAGGTCACCCGAGTAGTCACAGAACTGAGACTCCTGGATCCTCAGTGCTACTAGGGTCTCATGTTTCTCATCCCCAGAATGAGACCCTGAACCCAGCCCAGCCTGGAAGAGCAGGAGGGAATGGCAGAGACTTCCTTCTCTGGAGATGTTCTTACTTCCCTACCCCTCTCTTTTTGAAGGGTTGGGGTAGGAACGGTGGAAAGTAATTACCCTGACGTTCAAACACCCCAGCCGATTACAGCCCATAATTACAAAGTTGTAAAAGTGATCAGAGAGAGAGGGTTGGCCAACAGGGGAAACAAACAGGCCTTTCAGACAGTGGGTGCCTGTGTTCAGAGTTCTAGGACTCAAAAAGCAAGATTTGGGGCCAGATGGAAGCCCACTCGGGGGCTACCCATGCTGCCCTGCAGTCCGCCCGCACCCAAGCAAGAGGGAGGGAGGGAGGGAGGGAGAGAGAGAAGCATTTCTTCCAGACCAGAACCTGGAAGACAGAGAGGACAGGCAGGCCCTCCAGGCAGGAAGAATGGGCTTTAGAAAGACAAACCAGAGACCTCTTTGGGCGCTGCAAAGATTCAGCCAGCCCTCTAAGAGCAGCGAGCAGGCTGCCCATGGCCTTTAGCAGTGGAAGCCAATACGTTCCAGGACTTCACTCTGCACTTCCCTGCACCTTAGATTTTCCTCTCCAGACACAGTGACAGTCACTGTGTATCTCCTCCTCATCAAAGATTGACTGAGCACCCACTGTTCTCAGGGCACCAAGCCAGGGAAGGCCAAGCCCTCCAGAACAACTCATAATCTAGCTGTGGAGACAAAGCACATACGTACGATTATAATGCTGATGACAACATTCTAGAGTACAAATGAATGAAACAGACCAGTCATTTCCAAACCCTTTTTTTTCACTGCAGAAAGCCCTTCCCTCCATTGTGCCCCCCGCAATACACACACGCGCGTGCGCACACACACACACACACACACACAGACTGACACAAATCGTCAATACAAAACAGATAAAAGCGAGCTGAGGCTGAGGGTGGGATTAGGGGTAAGAAGGACCCTTGGCTTCCCCCCAACCCCAGCCCCTGCCAAGGCACCTCCATGAAACCTGGTGTGAAAAGCATGGCCAGAGACCCTGGCAGCATGCCAGGAGGGAAGGATCTCTGCTCCCAGTAGCCCAGCTGGGCTGAGCCAGTCAGGAAAGATTCAGTACAAGAGGTGGGATTCACCTAGGCTTGAAAGCAAGGGGAGGAGGAAGTAGAGGGGATATAACCGCTATTGAGACCCACTATGCCCAGACTGTTTAGGTTTGAGTACTAAATCTGCCATCAACCATTAGCTGTGAGACTTTGGGCAAGTCACTTAACTGCTGTGTGCCACAGTTTTCCTTTCTGTAAACTAGGGATAATAACAGGACCTACTTCACAGGGTTGTTCTGAGGACTATGTAAGTTACTCCATGTAAAGACTTATGATATGTGCCTGGCACATAGTAAGTATTCCTTAAGTATTTATTTACTTATTTGTATCTGTCATTAAGCCACTCTTAAGTATTAGTTATCATCATATCAGCTATCGCCATGTGCTTTGCGTACATGACTTCATTTACTCCTCACAACAACTCCATAAGACAGGCATCAGCTCCACTTTTGGACTGAGGAAAAAACAGAGGCTCAGAGAGGCTGAACAACTTGCCCAGGGTCACACAGCTGATAAGCAGTGGAGGCAGAATTCCCACCCAGGACTTCAGCCTTCCAAGTACCTGGTTAGCAGGGAGTGTTCTCTGTGGTAAGAAAGGCAGGCCTTGTACCCAACTTTTTTGCCTCCAGAGCCAGCTCCTTCCACCAGGCAAAAAGCCACTGCTCCAGCCCAGGCATGAGGTGCTCAGGGCCTGGGGAATCACAAGGATGGCTGTGGAGTTGCTAATAAAGAAACAGAAACCAATCTGGGTGACTGTGTAGGGGGAGGAAGGTGGTATGCTGACAAGAATGAGAGTCCAGAAGAACTACAGTGAGGGTCAGAGACCAAAAGAGGGAACCATGACAGAAAAAGGCCAACCTTGTTAACTATGAAAGCATAGGATGATGATGCCAATGACAAGGACAGCAGTGACAGCTGCAGTCATTTACTGAGTGACTGCTGTGCGCTTGGCATCTGTACTGTCTCCTCAACTCCTCATAACTACTATAAGATATGAGCCCTGTTACTGTTCCCCTTTTACAGATGGGGAAACAGAGGCTCAGAGAGCTGAGCTAAAATGTCCAGGTCACACTGAGGGGCAGTGGAGAAGCCAGGCACCAGACCTGGGGCTGTCTGGCTCAAGAGCCCCAGTTCCGGGGATGGGGACAGCACCACTGACACTAATTGATTTGCCAGAGCAGAGCTGACTGAGGTCAGTGGTTTTCGAATTTCCTCACCAAAGACCCAGCTTTCCCCTATGCCTCCCACAAGCCCTATATTTAAATATGTTTTACCAGACTAACTGCATTTATTATGCACAATTCATTTTCCTATGAGATAACTTGTATTAACACATTGAACTGATAGAATTCAACCAAAAGCAAAAAAAGTGAAGAGTTCAGTTAAGCCTGTGCAAAGTCTAAAATATTGAAAGTAGCCCAAAGATCCACATTGCTACCTTCACAGGCCTCCTTTGGGCCAGGGGATCCCAGGTAGGAGCTACTTGGTCAGGTCAAAGGATGAGAGAGCCGAGGGATGCCTCGGACCTGACCCGCGAGAGAGCTTGGGGCCAGAGCAGCTCCGCAGAGTGATGGCGGGGG